TCACTTTAAAATGTGATACCTAAGGTCAGGTATGGTGGTTCATGCCTACAATCCCACCACTTGGGGAGCCTTAGGCATAGGGAGCATGGGTCCAGGCCAGCCTGGGCTACACACTAAGACCCTATCTCAGATAAACAAATAAATAGGTAAAACAAGGGAAGGGTGAATATTTACACTTTGGCTGAAGTTTTCCCTCTTTTTGTACCTGGCTTCTCAGAGTAGAATGACCCATTTCTAATCAGCTTTGGCAGATGATTGACATGTCATTGTGGCAAATAGGCATTTTCTTCTTGTGTTTTATAGTCTGTTATCAGGTCTCTGGGGTTTTTGTTATAGTTTGGTTTCGGCAGTGCTGGAGGCTGAATCTAGGCTCTTTCACATATTAGGCAAGCCCTCCAACACTGAGCTGTATCCCCAACCCTCTTTTCAATTTTTAATTGAGACATGATCCAATTAAGTTATCCTATCTGTCATTGACCTTCCTTACTCTGTGACCCTCTGATCTTGAGCTTGCTATCTTCCTGCCTCAGTTTCCCAAATAGTTCTCAATACAGGCCTGCACCACCCACCAAGCAGTATTTACTTTCGTGTCTGGATACTGGACATTGAATTTGTTTCCAGGACTGGTATAACATACTACAAAACAGCAAGCTGAAGACAGCAAGGATGTATTTTTTTTTTCCAAATTCTAGAAACAGGAGTCTGAAATTAGGGCCACACTTCTTTAGAGGACACAAATTGACACTGTTTCACACTGTCCTAGCCTGTACAGAATACCATAGGCCAGGGGGCTTAGGCAACAAACCCTGTTTCTCAAGTTTCTGGAAGCTCAGGGTGCAAGTCTAACAGGCCAGGGAGCTGATGAATGCCTGCTTCCTGGTTTGCAACTAGCCATCTTCTTATATCATTACATGAAGAAGATAAATATGGTGGTATTTTATTTGTACTGAAATGTGATTTTCATTGTATGTTAATAAATAAAGTTGCCCAGGGGTCAGAGCTATTAGAGCCATAGCAAGAGCGTGGTGGTGGTGGTGGTGGTGGCGGTGGCGGTGGTGGTGGCGGCAGTGGTGGTGGCGGCAGCAGTGGTGGTGGCACACTTTTAATTCCCAGCACTTGGTAGAAGAGCTAGGTAGATCTCTGTGTGTTCAGGGATACAGCCAGCATTGGAGACATACGCCTTTAAGACCTGGAGGGCTGTACTTACAGGCAGTGACGAGGCAGTCATGTGTTTGGGTTTACAACCAATGAGAAGGCAGAACAGAAAGACTATGTAAAGACATACACACAGGAAGCAGCTCTCTTTTGGGGAGGTAGGAGCACCACAGGAGGAAGGGTAAGATTTTAGCTCTGAGCTCTGACCTCTCGGCTTTCTCTTTTACATTGGTTCTGTGTTTTTTATTTTAAATAAGATGGTTAGTTACATCTACAGATAAAAATAATCAGGGGAACTGATTTTATTCATGAGACCCACCCTCTCATGATGTAAATACCTACCAATGGCCTCCCCTCCTAATATCATTCCATTGGGAAGGTTAGGATTTTAACAGATTAATTTTAGGGAAATACTAACATACACTATGGACAATCATCATCACCCACTGAATTGTTTGTGTTGCTATCAGTCCAATTTTTCTCTTTTAGTGTGTATATAAGTGTTCACATGTTCATAGTCCAAGTATATGTATGTAGAAGCCAGAGGTTGGTATCAGGGTTATCAGTATTTTCTTCACTTGCTCTCCACTTTATTTTTTGAGACAGGGTCTCTCCTTGAATCTATAGCTCAGTGACTTGCCTAGGCTAGTGGGCCAGCAAAGTCTAACAATCTGCCTGTTTCTGCCTCCCAAGTGCTGGCATTACAGGCATATACTACCAAACAAACAAACAATACCACCACCAAAAAAAAAAAAAAAAGCCAAACATAAATGTTGGGTATCCAATCTTAGGCCTTCCTGATTGCACCAGAAGCACTTTACCAATCATCTCTCCAGGCCCTCTACCAGTCTAACTTCTGTCTCTCTTTACTGGCCAGTCTTCTCCTGCATGTTTCTATGTGGTCCTAATATAAACACATCACTGTATTTATAATACAGATTTAGGTCTCACCCTAATTCAGTATGATGTCACCTTAATTGCATAGGTACAAAGACCCTCTTTCCAAATAAGGACGTAAGTGCCAGTTCTCATTTGGATTGAATTTTGGTGGGGGTGAGGGAAGTCACTATTTAATCCAGTTTAGGTTTTACAATATTTTCTGTATATTAAAGTTTGATATCTTTGTAAATATGAAAACGCACATCATTTTACCCAAATAAAGTCTTATGGCCTCTGTCACTTTAATTTTGGGAAGGCTCGTGGCTATGGGCACCTGCAGGTTTCACTGGAGCCTACTGCATAGCAGTAGTCATTCCAGGACAGATGTGACAAAGGGAGTGTGCAGTTGAATAAGCACAGCTATGCAGCCTATGAGGGAATCAGAGCCAGCTAATAATAGCTGCTCTTGAGCTGATGCTTTTTCCACTGCTGAATCCTCAGAGCAGTGATGTGCTGATTGTATCATGTGACTTGTGAAACAAGGAAGACAAATGATGTCATAATTCTGAGTATTTTGACTAATGCTGTACACTCTAAAGTTGTAGTGGCTTGGTACTTCAGAATACTGGCTGCTCTTCCAGGAGACCCAGGTTCAGTTCCCTGCACCCACATCAGGCAGCTCACAACTGCTTTTAACTCCAATTCCAGGGGATCTGACACCCTCTCCTGGCCTCTGCAGGCATTTGGCATGCATGTGATGCACACCCATACATGCAGGAACTCACACATGAATATAAAATAAATAAATCTTTAATTTTTTTAGTATCACATGTAATAATTGTCTACAAAATTTTAATGTCCTAAACTTCTTTAACATTTTTTTTTTAATTTTCCTAGGAGCATCTCATAGTAGGACCCCCTTTTCCTAAGAGCCCGCATGGTCAGATGGAAGTGATGGCGGAGAACCACACTGAGAACTGAAAGCATCCAAGGGGAGCCATCACAATAACCTTCCCCATTGGGACTTTTACACAGACTTCAATTGTAGTTTCTTCCTAATTTATCAACCACTGTCTGCCCTGAATTTAGACCTAAAGAGAAACACAACAAAAACGACACACAAATAAAGACAAGGTGCTGGTTTTCCATTTCATCCTTCCAGTCTGGCACTAATTCTTGGCAGCATCTTTGATTTTGCTCAGCCAAGAGTATCTTTTGGAAAATCTATGTATGTCAGATATATGTACTTGCACATGAGTGAGTACACACACACACACACACACACACACACACACACACACATCCTTGCTAATCTTCTAATTCAGTGAGCTTGTTTGCAACTTTAGCAACTGAAGAGGCATCATCATACACCATCTATCTCTTGTTCAAAGAACTTTAGACATGGGTAATCCAGTTACTACGTTTTACCTCTGTCTTGACATTATAGTCCTTGGTATCAGTGGGGCATTAGTTCTAAGACACTGCCCATAGCAAATTCTGCAGGTGTTCATGCCCCTTATGTAACATTATTTAGCACTTGCATGGAATCATTTACTTCCTCCCGGATACACTAACCCATCTCTTGCGTCTTACAACCCCCACACAATGTAAATGCTATGCAAGCTGTTCCACTATGTTGTTTAAGGAGTAACAAGAAGACAAAAGTCTGAACATGTTCAACACAGGTGCAACTGTAGCTTTGTTTGGCTGAATACAGAAATGCAGAACTCACAGAAACCGAGGGCCGACTGACTGTACTTCTCCAAACATGCCAGTGCTGCCCCATGAATACCTTTGGACACGCAGACTGAGTCCATGAACACTTACCCATTCTTTCTATGGAAATGATTTATACCAGATTTAAATTTCCTTGGGTAATTGTTTTCTTTGTAGCTCACTGTGTTGCCGCGTCTTTATTGGAATTTGTGTTGTGTTTTCTTTTGTAAGACATTTGGATTCTGTGAAAAGCGTTATGTATGTAAGTAATGGAAACAACACCCACACCATTGCTTTGCTACTGGGGTGCCGCCACACTTCTGTTTGCTTTCTCTTCCTTTTTTTTTTTTTTTTTTTTTTTTTTTTCCAAATCACCAGAATAGTTCCTAGGAATAGAAATGATAAAACATTCTTAAAGACACAGCTAGTCAGAACAGAGAAGATGGCTCAGTAGTAAAAGTGCTTGGCATGCAATGCACAAGGACCAGAGTTTGCATCTCTAGGGCCTGTATAAATGCAGGGTCAGCATGCGAGCCCATGATTCTAGCCTCCAAAGGCAGAGACAGGGAAGCCCTGGGACAAGCTGGCCAGACGGGCTTGTCAGATCATCAAGCTCTGGGTTTGATTAAGAGATCCTGCCTCAGAGAGTAAGGTGGAAGAGTCATCAGACTCAGGGAAGAAGCCTGCTATAGAGGTCAGGCCTCCACAGCCATTTGCACACAGCTGTACACATGCCCCCACACAGGTGACCCCACATCCACAGGCATGGGCATGCACGCATGCCCCCACACAGGTGATCCCACATACACAGGCATGGGCATGCACACATGCCCCCACACAGGTGATCCCACATACACAGGCCCGGGCGTGCACACATGCCCACACACATGTGAAAGGAAGAAAAATGAAAACTAACACTACAGTAAATATATTATTACTTATTAGTGAGGAGTCATAGTCATTTGAAACCTGACCCTTCCTTAACGGACAGCCAGCCTTCCCAGGCCTCTCATGTCATTTTGTCCTGGCTTAAACTGCAGGAGCAGATGCACTATGCTTGAAGTAATTTACTGACTGCTATAAATTGAGCATGGCGGGAGGTAAATATCAGAGTCAGAGTGAAATAGCTGTATAGCAACGAGAGAAATTATGGAGCTTCTGCGCGAATTGGACTGCTTTTATAAAATACATCAGGCAACAAAGTCCTCTTGGGGGGGGGAACCATACATCAGTCATGCAAAATGATCGGGCTGGTTTTATGCAATCTTTTATTTTTAAGCTGCTTTTAGCTTAAAGGGCAGAAAAGACAATCTTTGGAATTTCATGGCCTTGCAGAAACAGGCACACGGGGTCCTGGAGTCACTGATGCTAAGAGAGAGAAGGTGCTGTGGAACTGCTTGTATTGGTGTCCACTCGACTCTTCCTCTTTCGTAGGAGACGCTGGCTACAGAGCCTGCAGGGTCAAGAGTAGCACCTGCCAGTGGGAAGAGGACAAAGCTAATTAATATTCAGCAACCAAAAGGGACACTGGCAGTTCTGGTGTGATTGTGACATGTCCCCCCCCCACCGGAGCATGTGACTGAACACGTGCCCTCAGCTGCTTGTGTTGCTTAGGGACACTGTAGAATGTCTGGGATCTTAGGCCGGTCAAAGTTATTCTTGTTTCTGGTTCAGTCCCGCACTTGCTGTCTTCTGAACTCCAATCACTACCTCACGCTCTAGCCTCTATAAACAGAGCTGCTTCTGCTACCACGTGTCCCTTAGCACGGTGGGATAAAATCCCTCTGAAATTGTGAGTCCACCGAAACCTTTCTTCCCTTATACTTATCTGTCAAGCACCCTGTCACAGTGACCCGAGGAACCTGATACGCTGACCATCCCCCGGGGGCAGTTGGGCAGGCCAGTGTGCGGTGACCCGAAACCTGCTGAAGTCGGGGTGGACCTGGTGACTTGGCGATTTGGAAGCCTATCTGTAGACATGTACGGTGCTGAATGAAGCCCAGATGACAACCGTCATAGTCAGGCATTGCTTCAGGTTATCAGTTCAGACATGGCTGGCCTCTCCCTAAAGGAGGGGGAGGTCACATCCGCTTTCTACAGGAATCTCAGCAGTTTGAAGAGAAGCAAGTCTCAGGCCAAGATAGTAGAGGTCCACAGGGTCTCGAGAACAGAGAACTAAGACAGATAGTACTACAGGCTTTCTCCAGGGTGCTAGAGAGAACACGGAAAGTGGGAGTCACCTAGGGTATGGGATTGCCAGGTCCCTCGGCAGCCAAACCAGTTTCCTCTATGAACATGCCCAAGGCTAGTGATATCAATCAGTTCTGGCCCTGGCACAACCATGCACAAGAATTCCTGGAACTCTTGTTGAAATGCAGGCTCCGATTGGGTATATTTGAGTCCCTGGACAAGGTTCTGAAGTTCTCACAGGATTCCCCACCGATGCCGATTCCTGTAGTCCCCGCGTCCAGTCCTGCCAGCATCACATCTGATCACCTTGTATTCTTTTTCTCCTCTTCCGGTGATGTTGTGTGGCTCCTTTTTTTCTCTTCCAGAATGAGCACCAGAAAAAAAAGAGCTTAGATTCAGAGAAGAGACAGAGCAAGATGGCAAAACCCAAATGTGCTCTCCTTTGTCAAGTTCAGGAGGAAGCACCATGGCGTGACATCCTGGGGCCAAGGAAAAGCAACAGAACTGCTTTAGGGTTGTCTTGGTTACTGTTTGTTGTGGCTACTTCTCTTGTTGTGGTGGAACACTCGACAAATGTCACTTAAGGAAGGGAGGGCTCGTGTGGCGCACAGTGTAAGAGGGCAGTTTATCATCCTGGGGAAGTCATGGCAGAAGAAACGTGAGCTAGCTGACCACGCCATGTCCACAGCCAGGAAGCTTAAATGATGACTGCTAGCTCCCAGCTCACTCTCTCCTTTTTGTTCAGTCCACGATGCCAGTCCACAAACAGTGCTGTCCACATTCAGGGGAGTCTCCTCACTTTAACACAGTCTAGAAACCTCCTCACAGACATGCCCCACAAGTTTTTCTCCTATCAAATTGACAATCAATATTAATCATTACAGGAATAAAAAAAATCCCAGAATCAGTTTGGAAATCTGTTCCACAGTATTTGCTGGAAGAGGCTGGGTCTGACATCAAGGTGGCATGAACCAGGCACGTGGAAACACCACTGTAAGCTGTGCCTTTGCCTCAAGTCCCCAGGCCACCACCCTGCCAGGCTCCCCCACTCACTGCCTGGCCTTTCCTTTTGAAGCTACTGCACCTGAAGAGGTGGAAAGGAGGCCCCCTTTCAGCCTTTTATCTTTAAGCAGCTGCATTATTAACAGAGAAGAAAAAGGTCTCCCATGAGCTATGGCAAAATCCTGCAGATTGGTTTGTGAATCAGTGCAGCTTAGGCTAGAGCAACCTAATTTCCTGAAAGCCATTCTATGGCTTTGGGCTTCCAGAGAGGCATAAAGCTTGCATGGTATTTACTCTTAGTTAAAATTAAATGGAAATTGGGAAGGGGAAGAAACAAAAAACTCAAAGAGGAAGTCTTCTAGGACCACATATCATTAAAAGGGGGAAAATTAAAGGCTAGAAAGAAATGTGGGCAGACTGTACATATTGCATCAAAGGACGTCTGGCAGTGTGGATATAGCAATGTGTTACAATGGTAACTACCTCCATGTCACAGAGTTTTGTGGGTTTTTTTTTTACATATTTATTTTGTTGTGAAATGCATATTTGAGAAAGCAGGTGATACACACAAAAAGTCCAACTTAATAAGTTATATATACTATACATCTGGGTGAGTACAGAATAAATAAAACCAACCCCAAAGCCTTCCACCCAACTGTTTTTGGTAATGACCCACCCTCCCTTATTTTTAAAAACTTCTAATTGATTCTTTCTGGATTTCATATCATGCACCCTGATCCCACTCATCTCCCCACACTTCAAATATGCCCTCTGCCCTTGCAACTTCCCCCGCAAAAATAAAATAAAATAAAATAAAATTTAAAAGAAAAACACACCTCGGTGTGGAAGCTGTAGTGTGCCACAGTGAGTCACACAGTGTACTCCTTAGTCCATACATCTTTACTTACAACTCTTCATTGCAATGAGTCGTTGGTCTGGTTTGAAGCCTCTGGCTTCTGCTACACCATCAATGCTGGGCCCACAGTGGGGCTCCTCTTGGATGTCCTGCTGTTGTCCTGTGTCATGGAGATCCTGTAGCTTCACATGCTCTACAGTTCACAGATGAGGTGGATATTGGGGTGGGCCAGCTCATAACTCTGGTTCTGGGCCTGGGTGGTAGCTGGGTTGGTCAGCCTGCCAGCTCTCCCTCACCCTCACCACCTGGGTGAGCTCTCCAGCACTGCCCACCCCCCTACACCCCAGCTCACTCAGTACCTCAGGCAGCGAGGGGTGGAGCTAGTTCTCCTGCTCTTATGCCCCTAAGGCCAGCTCACCTGCACCCACACCACCAGGACCAGCTCTACTGTTCTGCCTAGGTGGTGCAGGGCCGCTCTCCTGAGTGCTGCAGTTGGTGAGAGGCAGGGCCAGCTCTCCCACTCTCGTGACTTGGGGGCACTCTTCTCTGTTTTTAAGCTAATCTTCCTACCTCCTTTTTTTTTTCTTTTTGCATTATAGTTTTATTACTCACGTATGCACTGGTAAGGAATATTTCCCTGGTTTTTTAATTTTACGTGTGTTTATGAGTGTGTGCATGCCAGTCTTCCTATGTAGCATCAGAGGGCAAGGCCAGCTGTCACTCCTTACCCACCTTGTTTGAAACAGGCTCTCTTACTGTTCTTCCGCTGTGCTGCGTGCACTGAATCAGCTGCCCCTGAGCTTCTTGGGAGTCTCTTGTCCCTGTCTTCTATTTCCCCCACAGGAGCATGAAGATGGCAGATGCATATGGATCCAGGGTTTATGTGAGTTCTGGGAATGTGAACTCAGGTCCTCATGATTGAGTGGCAAGTGCTGTAACCACTGAACCAGATTCCCAGCTCCCTCTATATATGGGAGCAGATGAACTTCTTTTTTTCTCCCCTTCATTTACAGTGCTGTATGGTATTCCTAAACTGGATAAACAACGTTTTATAGCATTTACTGCTGGTGGATGTTTTCACTTGTTTCCTATGTCTGGCTGTTATGAATGGAAGCACTATTCCTGTGGTAGATATGCACCCTGGGGTTCATATCTCAGGCATTGGATGTGGGTATTTTTCCTTTTAGTAGATAATACCTAATAGTGCACCAAGAACATAGTAGCAATCCCTGTATCTGAGTTTCCATTGCTTTATAATGGGGACAAGTAGCACCTTTTTCTATCTCTCTCTTCTTTTTAATCTAAGTTTTCTATTTTCCTCTTTTATAAATATCAATTTATTTAATTAGGAAAATGCTACTGTAACACTTTTTAAGAATTATATTGCCCATTGGGGATTTTTTTTAAACCTTTTAATTGACACAAATCACTCCGTGGAAAATGTTTATGAATCACACATACATAGCTGAATGGGTTATCACACCATGGGCACCCCTGGATAACCACCCACAGATCAAAATAGAACTTCTGAGCACCGGCAAAGCCTTAAAATCCCAAGTTACTTTTGTCAACAAAGGAAAATGGATATACTCTGCTGAACAGCCATTTCTTCCAAATGAAACACTCCCTTTTGGAGGAGAAGGCGGGCACACAATCCACAGAACACTATGGAGACTTACAGAGGCTGGGGGAAAGTCCCAAGATTCACACACCCTTTCCTATGCTCATGCAAGCCTTTTATGTTTAGGCAGCCTGATTGGAGGAAGAGACCCTCTTACATGGACCCAACTGCACGTTGTACAAGGAGCTCCAAGGGTGCAGGTTTGTGAACTGTCACTCATGCTGGAGTGGGCTTCTTAAGGTAATGCAACTGCCTTTGAGTCACCCCTGCTCCCATAAGTAACCCCAATAAACTTCCTCAATTTCCCCCAGCTAGACTTGAGTATAATTGTCTCTGGTTTGTCTTGCTGCCATCTGGGGTGAACAGATGTTTGCTAGGTCTCCTCAGAAAAAGACACACAGCATACTTTCCCCCAGCATGAGAGTTTTGTATGCTTTTGGACTTTTTCTTTTTAAACTAATAGGAACAATGTAGCCAATAAAACCTTACATCCGGTCTCCAGTCTTCCAACACTAGGAGGGTCATCTGTGCTGCCCTGTGCACTAGTTAGTTTACTTTGGGGAAGCAAAGCATGGTGTCAGGAAACTCATTTACTCCTTTCTTCAACTCACAGACTGTGTGGAACCTCTAGGCAGAGGTCATGTGTCATGACATGTCTGTGATAGCCTTGAGCCTCACTCTGACACTCATAACTGTGGTTTCCAGTTGAGTTTCTTTTTCCATTTGCTACCCAGAATCCTAAGTAGCATCACATCCTCAGACCATCTGCTTTTATGTAAATCAGAGCTGTTGGAGGATTTCAGTTTCTCTGGGAAGTTGGTTTGTTTCTGAGGATCCTGAAAATCCAAGGATATATATGGCTTTTGGCCACAGGATGAGCCCTTGGCCTACAATTCAGGGCAGCTTCAATACTGTGATGTTTCATACTGGAGCCTGTACTGGGATGAAGAATCCTGCCCTCGGATCTTTGTAAGGGAATAATTATAAAGCTGTCTTCCACAAGAAAAGGTGAATCCAATAGCCTGTTGTTGTAGGATATTGTTTAAGATATGTTACATTCGTTCATGCTGTGGAATATTTGTTTACTGATGCAAAGATGTGTTACATTCTTTTTTGTTTGTTTTTACAAGGTTTCGCTGTGTAACAGTTCTGGCTGTCCTGGAACTTGCTTTGTAGACCAGGCTGGCTTTGAACTCACAGAGATCCACCTGCCTCTGCCTCCCAAGTGCTGGGATTAAAGGCACGCACCACCACCACCCAGCTTGTGTTGCATTCTTTTGTGTTGCATTTAACTCTGTGAAGCTGTGTTACTTTGCCTGCCTAAAACACCCGATTGGCCTAATAAAGAACTGAACAGCCAATAGCTAGACAGGAGAAATAGTCAGGGCTTCCAGGAAGAGAGAATAAATAGAAGAAGAGAAAAGAAGAGGGAGGAGCGAGAAAAGGAGGAGGAGAGAAGGACGCCAGGGGCCAGCCACCCAGCCACACAACCTGCCATGGAGTAAGAAGGAAAGAAAGACATAGAGAATAAAATAAGGTAAAAAGCCCAGAGGCAAAATGTAGAAGAAGAAAAGGAGTTAATTTAAGTTAGAAAAGCTGGCTAGAAACAAGCCAAGCTAAGGCCAGGCACTCACAAGTAAGAATGTATTTATTTGGGAGCTGGGTGGTGGACTCCTAAAGAGTAAAACAAACAAATAAACAAACAAAAACAACCAACTACAGCCTGTGCTTTTTACTCTTTCAAATAAAAACTGTTCCACCCTTCTACAAAAAACAATAGTTTATGACTAGCTTTTGTTTCATTTGAAATAGTTTCAACTGAACTGGATCACAAGATGGAATCTTAGGATCATTTCTCAGGTAGTCAGACAGGCTATCA